GGTCGCAATTGCGTCGGTAAACCGTCGGAAAATTCCGACGGAAATCTCGGCCGTCGGAATTTCCGTCGGAAAAGTGGCTGTTTTCTTGTAGTGGATTAACAATATATATCATCGTCTTGGTGCAACATGTGTGAATAATTAAGTTTTTATCAAAACAAAAAACGTGTAAATTAACAAATGATTTCTTATTAGGTTTACTTTGTTTCATAATATTCAAGTTCTTCTTTTCTGCTTTTAATCCTTTTGTTTGTAAATTAAATAGACTTCCATTATCCTTAAGGCATTTTTTCCAGAACATTATCTTAACTGAAATAACTAAAAATTATTTTCTCAATATCCGAATTTAAAATCTAAAAAATGGATAGTAATTACCAATAATCTCATCCACATAATCAATTAACTATATATCAAAATAGATTAAAAAATCTTTGAAGACTCGGTAGAACAAACAAAAAGTTTCTTAAGATCCTCTTTACTAGGTTGTACAAAAACAGATAATGTTAAAGTTGAGAAAAGTGACATTGGATAAATAATCTTATCTACGATCTCCTCAACACCTAACAATGGATCTTGTCCCTCAACAAGCCAATTCCTCCATTCCTTCAACTCACCAAGATCAACCTAATTACGGGTTTGTAATCAACTTTTCCTTTTTTTTCCCTTAAAATCAAAGGAGACGATAACATATCTCTAGTTGTTTTACCAATTATTGTAATCACACGTTCTTGCTTTCTTGCGTCACAAAGTTAATTATTCGTTATTTTGATCCTTTTGTTTGTTTTATAGTTCCAACGTTTTTTTCTTTTTATGCTCCGACGGAAACTTATAGTGTATTGTGATTTTATCTTTAGGACGTATAAAAATATGAGACGGGAGGGTCAGAGAGCCCAAGTAACAATGATTTACGAAGGAAAAGTGTTCGTGTTCAGTGATCTCTCATCTGAGAAAGCTGAACAGATCTTACTCTTGGCGGAAAATGATGAGACTTCGCCCCAAATCTACACTCAGCTTAATTGCCTACCGGCTCCTACTAGGCCTAATCAATGGAGTTTTCTGCAAATTATAAATCAAGGAAGCAATTTTGATGTTTCAATAGGACATATGACTTGCGGTATTGTTCTTGTTATTCAAAAACAAACTCGAGACTTCCTCGTAAAAATTTCTAAAACTAGTTAAAAATTCGTTGTTGATCTCTGATTTTAAAATGTTAATTCACAGAGCTCCAAATTGCTAGGAGAAACTCAATTCACAGGTTCTTGGAGAAGAGACAAGATAGGTAGGTAATACATACAAGAATATCTTCAAATAATGCTCTA